GGTGTAGAATCCATACAAAAAGATGGTCAAAAGATAGCAAATGGATTGGTCAAAACATTGCAATAAGAATAACATCAAGTTCAATTGTCAAAAAAAAAAAAAAAAAAAAAAATGTTAGAAATATTTGAAAAATTTCTCATAGTCCACTGGCAAAGTTTTTGGTCATTGGTTTTCAGAATATGCAAAATACAAGCACCTTTTTACCCATAGAAATTTTCTAGTCTTTTTTTTTTAATTACAGACACAGAAAAGATTTGGTCTATGCTTTTCCCCAATTAACTTAAAGTGAAAGTGAAATTAGCAGTTATGGTTCAAATCTGAACTTTTTGATTTGCTACTAATTGAGATAATTTATGCTTCCAACAGGTACCCAGAAAATTAGATAACCCTATATTGACAAGATTGTTTATATGTAACAACATACAAATGTTATATGTCAAAATTTCAATATTTCCCTGCAATAACATTCATCAGTAAAGAAAAAAAAAAAAGAAGAAAATTAAGTAGACAAGTTTTAGTATATCCTTACAAAACATTAATTATTGAGATAACTTTACTTCCTATGGATTCATTCATGTTTCTGTCATAATGGAAAATTTATATGACAATAAGCTAATAAAGTAGGAATATTGTTGACAGAATCACTATTTAAAATCTATATTTTGCTTCTATCTAATCAGAGTATGAGTGGATGTGGGGGGGGCAATATTTTTCACAACAAATATTGCATTTCATAAAGATTTTCAAAACTAAAAATTGTCTACTGTAATTTTGGAAAACATTTTTTCCCATGACACCGCTATTGTTTTAACTACCTACACTCCTCAGTTTTAAAAAGCAATGATTAGAATTGGAATAAAATAACTACCTACACTCCTCAGTTTTAAAAAGCAATGATTAGAATTGGAATAAAATAACTACCTACACTCCTCAGTTTTAAAAAGCAATGATTAGAATTGGAATAAAAACTTAAACATAGAACAAAAGTAAGTTTATCCATTTTTTTTTTTTTGGTTCTTGAGAATTTGTAACAAATATATTAAACGCTTCCTCTCTTTTCCATTTGTAAGAAGTAAATTCTGCAAAGCCAGATTTTTTCCTTCAGAGTACTGTTACTATATGGAACAAACTCCCCTCGGGATGCTTCCTGAACACTACCATCTTAAACTCATCAAGTCATAGGTCAGTCACTATCAATTCTACTTATCCTCATAATCTTCACTTCCTTCTACTTCCACCCTTACATTCAGTAAATATTTGAGTGGCTCTTAAGCCTTGTATTCAGTGATTCTTTTTACTTTAATTTATTTTATTTCATGAAGTAAAAATACTAGAGAGGAAAACTAGAGAGTCAGATGTCTGACAGTATCAGTGCATATACTTGGCAATGAGGACACACTTAGTAGGCCTAGCATAGAAACAAATATGAGAGCCATTAAAAAGACGAAGAAAAATGACAGCAAAGCTTCAGCAGCAGCAGCATCTGCAGTAAAAAGAGAAGCCTCTGTGAGTGCAGTCAAATGTTACAAAGTAGCAGCACCACTCATCAACAGACAGGTTATGTTGAAAACTCAGAATTACCCATTCAGAATTGTTCCATGGAACAATAGCCTAGTGGATTAAAGTGATGGTTCATAAATCTGGTAACAGAGTAATTTCAATCCCTGGGCTGGGCAGAGTACTTTTCATTTTTTTTTTTTTTTAAGCAGCATTCGTCCAGGATCAATTGAACTTGTTCTATCAAATGAATCTACTATGGATTTGCACGACCTTCAGGACTACCATGTCCTGAAGGTCGTGCAAATCCATAGTAGAAGTTTCAGTGGCAATTTTAATTCATCGGCAGTACCCAGCCACATGTATACATACTTTTGGATAGTGCGCTCCAAGCACTTTCAGGCTGGTTTGAATTCAGAGTTTTCCTTCTAGGCTGATTGTCAACCAATGCTAACAAAGCTAATCTGTCCTGCTATTTACTCATAGATTAATACCTTTCCCAAAGGTATTAGCAAATTAATATTAACACCTTTCCCAAAGGTATTAGCAAATTAATATTAATACCTTTCCCAAAGGTATTAGCAAATTAATATTAATACCTTTCCCAAAGGTATTAGCAAATAAGCAAATGTCATGAAATTCAAACTGCAATTCCTCAACCCAAGCCACTACTCATTACTCCACCATGCTTCCAGAGTGTATTTGGATTCAGTAGAAACAGGATGGATGGATGTTGGATTTAACGGCATGTCAACTCCCAGTAGAAACAGGATGAGCAATAACTGAGCAGTACTAAATAAGAACTAGACATGATATCCTTAGACATTGTCAGCAAAATGGGAACAATCTAAAATTCAGTTTGAATTTCTCTCTAGGTTATATGGATTGACAATCACCTGAGGAAAGCCAAAAGGCATAACAGACAAAATATTGTGATAACAACAACAAAGTTGCAAACAGTAGAATCTGCATGGAAATAATGATCACTTCTCATCCCAGAAATTCAGACAGAAAAAAAAAAATCACAATTAATACATAGGCTTGGTCTATACTTGAGTCAAATAGTACAATTGGGTCAGGTGTATTTTTTGAATTTACAACTAACCTCCCATTTCAGGAAGTGTCTTCTCACAAAAACTGGCTTTTCTTGACACCATAGATGAGGCCCTGCTAATAGGGTATATTCCAAATTGGGAATAAAGCCTAAGACCTTCAGGAATATTTTCACATACATTTTTTGTATTGCTTTGTTATTGCTCAACCTGTTTTCACTCAGTCTGCATCTATAAGACCTAACCTAGGGATTGAACTCAAAATTATTATGCCACCAAATTCTATAACCATAACTTTAATCCTCAAAGCTAGTGTCTCTTGGTAATTATGAAAATAACAAAAAAGATGAGGATAGGAGTTTAAATGTAGATATTTTAGGCCAGTAAATACAACTTTAATTTTAACCACAAAAAAAGAAATAAAATATTCTTTTGGTCAAATTGACAGGTCTCTTACTCTCTAAAATAAACAAGGAAAACTTATTTTAAATAACAATGCAGATGACCTGATTGATTAAGCAAAGTAACTTCTCATGAACTGACTTGGATTAAAAGGTTAAATATTGGAAAGCATAAAAAGTGTTTTATTTTTGTCTTTCAAAAACATTAAGAGCATTAATTTTAAATTTATTTAAAAAGAACTCTTGATTATAGCATGACAACCACAATATTAACCCTTTAAGTCCTGGCTTATACCAGCCACACTTGGGGGTATATATGCACTTTCACACAACAGTGAGTATATCCTGGATGCTCAGCTTCAATGGGTTAACGTGAAATTTCTTTCTTTTTTTTTTTTTTTTTAATATTTTTCTTTATTGATTTTAAGATAATAAACAAAAAATTATGCTTTTTTTTTTATTTAAAAAAAAAAATAAAAAAATAAAAAAATAATGAAAATGTTACTAAACTGAAAAGTTTTTTTGTTTTTCAGTTTATAGAGAAGATCCTGTGAATGATCTAATGTATAAGCTTTTGCTGAAATTTCATGTTGGAAATTTCTTATTCAAATGATAGATCAATTTGAGGTGAAGAGATGAAAAGATTACTTGAGAATCATCAATATTATACAATGCAGAAGAAAAAGCGCAGATTCAAATCAGTTGGTGCCATGTGCCATGCGTGATACACGCTTAAGCGATCATCTATCTTTTGATACATGACTGACAAGGCAGATCCCCCCCCCTGCAGTAATTCAAATCAAGCATTGCAAAATGAACCTCCATTCATCTTACTAAAAGCAAATCTTCATACAATCAAAGCTGGATTGGAAAGGAGTTCTCTACTATGAACTCCTTGTCCTGGAGAGCTAAAGACTATTGATTCAAATGAGTACTGTTCGAAATTTGACCAAAATTGAAGGTAGCAATGAATAAAAGCATCTAGAATTAGTTAAAAGAAAACGGCCTAATATTCCATCTGGATAATTTTAACCAAATATTTCTTTCATTACCTATGAAAAGAAAATTGTTACACCAGATATTATACCTTGTAATATTTATTCTGGTCTTTACTGAACTCTTTGTGAAAACAATCCCCTGGAAGACTGCAAAAGGCACCTTGAACTGAGAAAGACAATAAATACTGAGAGGATAGAATTAAGTTGATTTAAGGAAATTAAACAAAATAGTAAAATATTCAATAAACTTAATGCTGAAGCAAAACATGTTTTTTTTCAATTTGTGTTTTTATGATCCAATTTTTGGGCAAAAGATTTTTTTTTACTATTTTTTTTCATTGAATTTTTTACGTTATTCTTCTTTTTTTTTTTTTGTTTTTTTGAGATTATTTAAAACCAAAAACTTGTTGGATTATGAGAATTCATTGGAGATAATAACGATTTTCTGATATAAGTCTTACTATTTAACACATATCTGGAAGGAGAAGTGGCAGTATATTTTTTTCTATATTTTAATGAATTTATGAGACATTCAATAAAATGTTGCAAGTTGAAATAAAAAAAAAAAAACCTTTATTCTTACTCATAGGCCTTTATATATACTTTTGCCATGACTTCATTCAATTTTCTCTTATTCCTTATATTTACATAGAACCATTAACACTTTTGCCAACCTCTCAACTCTACATATATGTACTGCAATTGTCTACTGAAGAAAGCAATTCAATTTTGATCTGCCCATAAAACTTGTTGAAAAGGGAATCCCAAACAGTTGCTGGTTGTTTTTGTTTAGCAGCATATCAACACCTCTATGGGTTATTTAATGCTAAAATGTAAATATTTTATTCACAATTTTAATTTTTTTTTGTTTTTTGAGATAATGATTTTAGTTTTACTAATTAACCCATAGATGATGGAAGAAGTGGTGGATTCATAGCTTTCCAAAGAGTATTTGTAGATAAGTGAATATAACAAACCCAACAGTAACTGGAACTCGGCTCTTCAATTAATAATTCTGAGCTATTATCCATTACACCAACAGTACATTCAAG